AATACCAAGCATGTTCTTCCCTTTGGGTTTTCCAATTCTAGATCTTTGCACATTTCATTAAATAGTTTTCTTCTCAATGTGCTCTTTGATATTTTTTATTCAGCTTTTTAACTTCATCATTATTTTTTTTTCAGTTTTGTTGTTCTAAGTTCAAGAACAAGTTTCAGAATCTCTTCTGACATCCATTTTGGTCTTCTTTCTTGTCTTTTTCAAGACCTTTTGCTTTCTTCGTGTATAATGTTCTTGATGTCATCCCACAACTCATCTGGTTTTTGGTCATTAATGTTCAATGAATTAGAATCCTATAGCCAAACAACTACCTAATTTTATTAACATTGAATTATTTTTTCCTCCAAAGAAACCCTCAAATCCAGAACCACACTCTGAGAATCTTTGATGCTGATCTATACTTAGGTACATATTGTGTGGGAGAATGTGTTTAATATATTGCTTAATAAGAATGTAGGCAATACAAGATCATTCAGGTCTGATATAAGACTTTAAGTGAGTAAGTGGGGAAGAAAGAAGCTTTGTATGGGCAAACAGGAAAATATGTGTAAGAACATATATGAAATTATTAATCACTATTAATTACTATTAATTATTATCACTGTCTTCACAGGAAGGGTAGATTATAGAAATTTTCACCAATAATTTTTAAATGAATGTATTAATTTTATATTAATAAAAAAGACATAATTTTAATTGAATTGATTTACATGAAGAGGTTGTTCAGAACATATTGTGATTCATGAAATAAATTAACAACTGTAATATGTACTATATCTTCATATTATTATTTAAAATGATATGTATGCATATATATAAATCTAAAAAGAAATGAAATCATGTTTACAACTTCTTCAGTATGAAATTGATCAAATATGTGATCAGGATATATTGATAATTACTGGTAATTGGAATGCAAAGATTGGAAACAAAGTGAAAGGATCAGTTGTTGGAAAATATGTCCTTGGTGATAGAAATGATGCTGGCAACCACATGATTGAATTCTGCAAAACCAATGACTTCTTTATTGTAAATATCTTTTTAAACACTATAAAAGATGACTATCCACACAGACCTCACCAGGTGGAATACACAGAAATCAAATTGACTACATCTGTGAAGAGATGGTGGAAAAGCTCCATTTCATCAGCCAAAACAAGGCCAGTGACAGACTTTGAAACACACAATCAATTGATCATATGCAAGTTCAGGCTGAAGCTGAAGAAATTTTAAATAAATCCAAGAGAATCAAAATATGACTTTGAATATATCCCACCTGAATTTAGAGATCATCTCAAGAACAGATTTGATGCATTAGACACTAAAGACTGAAGACCAGTAGAATTGTGAGATGACATAAAAAATGTCATACCAGAAGAAAGTAAAAGGTTATTGAGAAGACAAGTAAGAAGGAAAAGAACAAATAGGATGTCAGTAGAGACTCTGAAATTTGCTCTTCAATATAAAAATGTTATAGCAAATATAAGAAATGAGGAGATAAAAGACCTGAATAGAAAATTTCAAAGAGCAGCTCGAGAAGACAAAGTTAAATATTATGAAATGTGTAAAGACCTGGAGTCAGAAAACTAAAAGGGAAGAACATGCTCAGCATTTCTGAAATTTAGGGAACTGAAGAAAAAAAATTCATGCAATATTGAAGAATTTTATGGTCAAAATATTAAATGATGCAGAAACCATCTAAAGAAGATGGAAGGAATACAGAGTGACTGTACCAAAAAGTAATGGTCGATGTTCAACCATTTCAAGAGATAGAAGGTGGTTGATAGTCACTGATACTGAAGGAAGAAGTCCAAGGCTCACTGAAGGCACTGACAAAGAAAAGGCAATGGGAACTGATGGAATACAAATTGAAATCTTTCAACAAACTGATGTGGTAGTAGAGGAACTCATTCATTTATGCCAAGAAATTTAGAAGACAGCTCCCTAGCCAACTGATTGGAAGAGATCCATATTTGTGCCCATTCCAAAGACACAATGGAATGTGGAAATCATCAGACAATATCATTATATCCTATGCAAGTAAAATTTTGCTAAAAATAATTTTTAAATGGATGCAATAATACTTTGACAGGGAAATGCCAGATGTTGAATCCAGATTCAGACGAGGACGTGGAATGAAGGTTATAACTGCTGACGTTGGATGGTTCTTGGATGAAAGCAAAGAGTACCCGAAAGAAATTTGCCTGTGCTTTATTGACTATGCAAAGGCTTTTGATTGTGTGGATCATGACAAGATATGGTCAATACTGCGGAGAAATGAGTATTCTGAAACACATAATTGTGATCATGAGGAACCTGTACATAGACCAACACTTGTTCGAACAGAACAAGGGAACACTGAATTGTTTAAAATTAGAAAAGGGTTTTTTTCCCCATGATTGTATTATTTAATTCGAGAATCTGGATTAAATGAAGAATAACATGACATCAGGGTTGGAGGAAGACTCATTAACAATTTGAGATATGTAGATGATACAACCTTGCTTGCTGAAAGCCAAGAGGACTTAAAATACTTAATGATGAAGATCAAAGACCACAGCCTTCAGTATGGATTACACCTCAATGTGAAAAAACAAAATCCTCACCACTGGAGCAATAAATAAAATCCATATTAATGGAGAAAAGATTGAAGTTGTCAAAAACTTAACTTTGCTCAGATCAACTAACACTTATGGAAGTGTCAATCAATAAATCAAATAATGTATTGCATTAGTCAAATCTGCTTCAAAAGACCTCTTGAAAGTGTTCAAGAGCAAAAATGTCAGTTTGATGACTAGGTGTCCCTGATCCAAACCATGGTATAGCGTAATGGTTACGAATCGGGCTGCTACTCTCACAGTCAACAGTTCGAAACTACCAACTGTTCCACTGGAGAAAGATGAGGCTTTCTGCTCCCCTAAAGATTTATAGCCTTGGAAACCCTGTACAGGGTCACTATGAGTTGGAACTGACTCCATGGCACATAACAACAACATATTTATGTGAAAGTTGGACAATGAATAAGGAAAACCATAGAAGAATGGATGCATTTGAGTTATGGTGTTAGAGGAAAATATTAAAAGTACCATGAAGCACCAAAGGAACAAACAAATCTGTGTTGGAAAAAGTGTGGCCAGAATGCTCTTTAGAACCAAGGATGGCCAGACTTTATCTTTCATATTTTGGACATCATGCTCGGTAAAGTGAAGGGTCAGTGAAGAAGAGGAAGACCCCCAAGGAGATGGATTGACTCAGTGGCAAGCAACAATGGGTTCAAGAATAACAACAATTGTGATACTTGCGCAGGACTGGGCAGTGTTTCTTTCAGTTGGGCTTAAGGTCGCTATGAGTCGGTACTGATTGGATGGCACCTAATGACAACAACAACAAGACTGAAAATCAGGAACCAAAGATATCAATATACAATGAATCAACAATATACAGCAAAATGAGGGAAGAGTGTAAATACAGAACTTCCAAACGGAGATGAAGTCAAGTAGATTGCAAGATAAAACAGGCAGTTTTAAACTGGGAAATTGTGGTAATGCTAACACATTGGGCTGGTAGCGGAAAGGTCAGAAGTTCAAATTTACTAGCTGCTCCATGGGAGAAAGATGAATCTTGCTGCTTCTGTAAAGATTTAGTCTCAGAAACCCTATACAGGGTCGTTATGAGTCAGATTAAATAGACTCCATGGCACACAATCACCATCACCACCAAGGACCAAGAGAGGCATTGGCAATTCAGTAGTGTAATTCTCACCATTCATGCAGAGAGCCTGGTTCAGTAAGGCCAATGCACAGCCTCACTTATCTCTCAGTGGAGGTTTGCATATTGTGATGATAGAACCATTGTGGTTGGCTGTTAACCAAAAGGTCAGTGGTTCACACCCTCATGCTGCTTTGTCGGAGAAAGACAGGGCAGTCTGCTTCCATAAAGACTCTTGTTTTTGTTAAATGCCTTCGAGTCGGTTCTGACCCATAGCTACCCTGTATAGGGTTTCTGAGGAGTGACTGGTGAGCTTGAACCACTGATCTTGTAGTTCAAACGGCTTTGTAGTCTAGTGCATTAACCCACAGTGCCACACCAGGACTCCAGAAAGATTGGTGGTGGTGGTGATTATGTGCCGTGGAGTTGGTTCCAACTCATAGTGACCCTGTACAGGGTTTCCAAGGCTGGGAATCTTTACAGGAGCAGAAAGCCTCATCTTTCTCCTGCAGAACAGCTGGTAGTTTCGAATTGCTGACCTTGAGGTTCACAGCCTGATTCACAACCACTATGCTACCAGAGCTCCTTCCATAAAGATTACTACCTTGGAAAGCCTATGGGGCAGTTCTCCTCTGTCTCACAGGGTCTCCATGACTCTGAATAGACTTGATGGCAGTGTGATTGGGTATATGATGCTGAATAGGTTTCAGTGGTATTTGCAGACTAAGGCAGGCTAGGAAGAAAAGTTGGTGATCTACTGAAAACCAGCTAGTGAAAATGGTGTGGATTACAATGGTCTGTGCCCCCAAAAGATCATGGAGATGAGGCAGAGATCCATGCAGCTGTGCAGGGGGTCACCAGAACATAGGGACTGACTAAAACAACCAGTGTACAAATGAATAAAACGAATGAAGTATCACAAGTAGACATGTGAGTGTTCCATGTCCAGATCTAAAAGTTTATATATCTGAAGTGCCAAAAACTTCTATTTCAATTTTAAATGAATTATTTAATATCTTCTCATCTGGAAAACAAGAAATTAATTTGTATTCAGCATTGCCTGGTATTTGATCTGATGGGGTAATAGGATTTCACCCTTCATAAATTTGTCTTTTCTACAAGAATGATCTCAAAATCCTCTACTGTTTGAATAGCACAATCCGTATGCAAACAGCCTGCATGCAGACAGACGAACTTAGATTTACTCAAGATTGGTGGGACTTGTGGAAACTCCCAAGTCTTCTGCTTCAGAGTCCCCTGGAGAAGTGGGGCAGGCAGATTACCTGTAGTTCTGGTGGAACTCCGGGATAGCCCTTCTCTCCTTTGGGACCATGCTGCCCTCGCTCTCCTCGTGGTCCCAGGTCACCTTTGTCTCCTTTCTCACCTTTGGCCCCTTCATGACCAGTGGCCCCATTATTGCCATTGTTTCCATGATTCCCTAAAACAAGCAGACATCATTGGTTGAGAAAACCTAATCCCCCCTACTCACTCGTGTCACCGTCTGCTTCCAGACACACATGGCCTTTATCTTTAAAGATGTCCAAACTCAACTGTGAAAGGGCACCATCTCAAAGAATCCAAATACTGTCACGCTGTGAAAGAGCATCCCTTTTAGATGGCACACTAGGCTCTGAAAGTATCTGACATATCCTAAGGCTCCAAATCGGTTTTTGTTTCTGAAGCAAGTCTTCGGAAAAATTGTGTAGAAGCTGATTATTTCATAATCATTGATAATAGCAAGATTAGAAACCACCTAAATAGCCACAACCTCTAGAAGAGCTAAGTTTGTTGTTGTTGTTTGAATGGTAAAAAAATGCTGAGAAACAACACATAAGGACAGGTAGACATATTCAAGAAACTTTTTAAGATTAAGAACTATTATAAATCAATAGGGATAACACGATAGTATTTTTGTTTGAAAAAAATATATAGGTACACGTTGTATCCAATAAGGGGAAAAAGCTAGAAGAATTTATATAAAATATATTGAGGTTTATGTTTATCCTGAATGGTTGAATCAAAAGTGAATTTATGCCATTTTAAATACTTTCCTGTCTTTTAAAGGTCTTCTATAATGAACATGTATCACTTTTATGGAGTACTGGTGTGGCACTATAGGATAAACACTGGACTGCTAACCACAAGGTTATTGGTTCAAACCCACCAGCTGTTCCTCAGAAACCCCTATACAGGGTCTCTATGAGTTGGAACGGACTCAATGGCAGTTAACAACAACAGCGTCACTTTTATAACTGGGGTTGTTGTTGTTGTTAAGTGCCGTCGAGTCAATTCCGACCCATAGTGACCCTGCATAGGGTTTCCAAGGAGCAGCTGGTGAGCTGGAACCACCGACCTTGCAGCTCGAACGGCTTTGCAGTTTGACGCATTAGCCCACAGCGCCACACCAGGACTCCCATAACTAAGGTGGAGGAAGGGAAATAAAATCACCGATGAAAATGGTGGTGGTGGTTATGTGCTGTGGAGTCGATACCGATTCATAGCCAACCTGCATAATGTTTCTGAGGCTATAAATCTTTATGGGAGCAGAAAGTCTCATCGTTTCCCCATGGAACAGCTAGTAGTTATGAACTGCTGACCTTGAGGTTAGCAGCTTGATTCGTAATGATAATTTAGAAAGCTGGATTTGAACAGCAATTTCAACTCCTCCCCTTTCTTTGACACTAAGGGACCAATTTGCACATCTTCTTTACTTTTCTTTTTACTGAATTCCAGGCCCTTTTGCTGCTTATTTTGCATGCTACCTTTGGTCAGGTGTCACACCAGGCTTGCAATCCTCTCAGGTGGGTGAATTTTGATGGTGCTTACAGATTAATGTGCTCCAGTCCAGGAGCCCTGGTAGCATAGTGAATTAAGTTTTGTGTCGCTCACTGCAGAGTCAGTGTTTCTAACCTGCCAATCACTTTGCTGCATACAGATGAGGCTATCTGCTCCCATAAATATTTACAGTCTCAGAAACCTTAAGCAGCAATCCTACTTTGTCCTAAAGAGTGGCTCTGAGTCAGAATTGAGGCAGTCCGTTTTTGGTGCTCGATTAACAAAGCTGTTTCCTGATGGAAAACATTTAGCCAAGGCTATCCTGTTCTGTCCTGATGTGGTGCTGCGGGTTAATGCGTTGGACTGCAAAGTTGTTTGAATTGCAAGGAACGTCGGTGGTTCAAGCTTACCAGTCACTCCTCAGAAACACCATACAGTGGCTTTATGTGTCAGAACCTACTCAACAGCACTTAACAAAAGCAACAATCCTGTTCTGTGAGGTACTGATGCTGCAGGATAAGCACTGGAATGTTAACCTCAAGATCAGAGGTTCAAACCCATCAGCTACTCCTTGGAAACCCTATACAGAATCACTATGCATTAGACTAGACTAAGCACTTAACAACTGAACTCTGAAAAGAGGTTCTGCCCCCATGGCTTTGCCTGAAGAGGTGGTGGTGCTTATGTGCCGTGCAGTCGGTTGCGACTCATAGCAACCCTGTACAGGGTTTCCGAGGCTGTAAATCTTTACGGAAGCAGAAAGCCTCATCTTTCTCTCGTGGAATTGCTGGTAGTTTCAAACTGCTGACCTTGAGGTTCACACCCCAATTCGTAACTGCCTGAAGAGGAGGTAGATAATAAAATCCCATGTAGGAGTAGATCTGGGGTCTTGGCTGTCCTTGCCTGGGCAGGCCCAGGGTAACAGAACATTCTAGAACTCCCCTTGCCTGTCAGCACAGAAGCAACAGAGTAAAGAGATGGCTGCCTTCTGGGTCTACAGGTGACCTGGTGCAGCTCCATGGAATTATCATACCATTTGTGAAGGCGCATAAATATTTCCGTGAGCCCAAGCAAGGCCCTGAGAGACAGCTGAGCATGGAGGGACCTTTAGGCTGGGAGAAGGAGAGCTTAGCTGGATGAAGGAGCAGGCAGAAGGGTGCACAACTCGGCATATAGCATTGTGGACCGAGGACGATGACCTGACTGATTGCTCTCCTCTCCAAACCCACCCTCACCCCGTCATACTCCCCTGTTTCAACTGTCCTGTGGCAGAAACACCCAAGTGAAGAGTGCGTCCCAACTAACGTAAGGAATGCTAGTGAAGTGGTTCCCATGAATTGGTATCCCAGGATGCCTAGTGACTTTGGGACTATGCAAGTGGTATCAAAATAAATGCTATATATTTATACTATTCCACCTAAACTAGGCTAATAAACCCAGTTCCCCTACCCAACATGGGATTTTCCATGCATCCCCTTGGGATTACACACAAGTAATCCTAAATTATTTGTTTGTTCTTGGCTCTTATTTTAGTAGAGTTGAAGATCAGCACTGGACTGCAAACCACAAGGTCAGCAGTTTAAACTCTCCAACTATTCCTTAGAAACCCTATACAGAGTCACTATGAATCGGAACCAACTTGATGGCACTTAACAACAACAACAACACAGTCAGCCTAGTGAGCAACCATTGCACACCTAAGTCATCCTTACCTGGAATGCCAGGGGGGCCTGGAGGTCCAGGGGGGCCTTGGTAGCCTCGGAAGCCATAGTCTCCATGGCAACACTTGCTGCAGTCTGGGGGCAGTCCTCCAGTTTGGGGAGACTTGAAGAAGATACAAAGAGAAACTTCAGAGAAAGATACCCAAGGGTAATTAGGATTTAAAAAATTTCTTCTGGCATTAGTCCCTAGGTGAGCCTTGGTTTAACTTCAAAAGATAGCATCAGAAAAGGAGGTGGAGGGTGGAGATGTCAGAGTGCAGGGTCAGGGAGTAGCTACTGAGGGAGGTCACAGTAGAGTCAGTAGAAGAACATGTTCTTTGGAAGAGTGTGAGAGGTGGTGGGGAAGGGAGGTGAGGAAGGACTTGGAGGAAGTACTTTCCTGTTGCTCTTGATAGAGTCCTGGTGTGGTGCTATGGGTTAATGTGCTGGACTGCAAGGTCAGTCTGAACTGCAAGGTCGACAGTTCAAGTTCACCAACCATTTCTTGAGAACCCTATACAGGGTCGCTATGAGTTGGAACCAACTCCACGGCACTTAACAACAACAACATTGATAGAATCCTGGGTGGCACTGTAAGATAAGCACTGGGTTTCTAACTGCCAAGTTGATGGTTCAAACCCACCAGCCACTTCTCAGAAACCCTACACAGGCAGGAACCAACTTGATAGCACTTAACAGCCACAACAGTTGTTGTTGTTGTAATGTGCCATGGATTTGGTTCTGACTCATAGAGACCCTGTACAGGGTTTCTGAGGCTGCAGATCTTTATGGGAGCAAAAAGCCTCATCTTTCTCCCACGGAACAGCTGGTAGTTTCGAACTGCTGATCCTGAGGTTCACAACCCAATTCATAACCACTATGCTACCAGAGCTCCTTGGCAACAGCAAGTAGAGGAGGTACAAATGGTAAAACCCTCAGCTACTAACTGAAAGACTGCACCTTGGAAGAAAGGTCTGGTGATCTACTCTCCAAAAATCATAACTTGAACCCCTTATGACGTGCAGTTCTACTCTGACACACATAGGGTCAGCCTGAATTGGAATAAACTCCTTGGCAACTGGTTTGGTTTTGGTCTTCCTTTTTTTTGTTTTTTTAAATCTATTCATGATGCAGGCAGTTAAGTTGAGAGTTTGGCCGTTTGAATCCTTGGAAGAAAGGCCTTTCAATCTACTTCCGGAAATAGCAGCTACTGAAATTCCTATGGAGCAAGTTCTATTCTAACACACACGGGGTCAACATGAAATGGAGTTAAGTCAAGGGCAACTGGTATACTGAGGCTGAGGCTGGGTTAAGGGTTCTTAGAAAATTGTCGTAATGTTGGCTTTTCACACTGACACAGCATACTTAACTTACTGTAGGAAATTGAAAGACGTATTCATTCAACCAAACAATTTTTATTGATTGCCTAGATTTGGAAGCAACTTTAACTTCTTAAAAATAAGTGTTTAACATGATGGTCTCTTTCATATTCCACGTCAAAGTATAATGAACACTTTTTGGGTATGAAACATACTCCAATAGAACACTGAGTTAAATGCCTATCTATACAAAAATAAATGTCTAAAATTGGGCTTGTTAGACGATCTCAAAGAGCTTGAGATCTAGTCAAAAGTAATTGGCAAAAGAGTTAAGTTGCTTATAAAATTTTGATTTTCATCTAAATTGGCAAATTGGCCTTTTAATTCTATCATACAAAATATTTGTGAAAACTTTTTCCTATAGTCCAGTTGTCTTTTGAAAACAGCTACTGGAGTCCTGGTGTGGTGCTGTAGGATAAGCACTGGATTACTAACCTAAGGTCGATGGTTCAAACTCACCAGCCTATACTTGGACACCTTATACAGAGTTTCATAGAGTGAGAATGACTGCACAGCACTTAGAACAAAAACAGCAACATTGTTGATAAGGTGTTCTTAAAAGAACAAAGAAAAAGAGGAGGGAGGGAAGAATTTCAAGTTCAAGTTTTCCTTATCATTAGACATTCAAGCAAAGAATACTTATACTACACTTTCTGTACATTTAGACATTTCTTTCTTCCTTTTCTTTTCTTTTTTAACAAAAATTACTTGGATATTTTCCCTGCTTTCTTGTCCCTTTTTCCTAAAGGCCTCCACCAAGCTACTCAGAGAGCACACAGACGATATTGGCAGTCTGAGTATTCTCCTGTGACAGTTCAGAGCCCAGATCTTGAGTGTTCAGGACCTCTCAATTTAACATTGACTTCTGGTCTAGTTCCCTGTCCACCAGGACCAGCCCTAGACTTGTGGGATGGGAATCTATGAAAACCTCCTTTCAAACTAGTGGAGGAAAAGAAAATTAGCTAAAGAAACTGGACTGAGGTCAGAGATTTCAAGACACTTGGAAAAGCACCGCCCCATCCTCCAATCCAAAAATGTAATCTGAGAAATCTTCCATATTTTCCTGGTATGGTTTTGCTAATGTGAAATACAGTTTTTTAAACCCCAAGAAATCCAGGGCTCTGCCAAGAGTGGATTTTAGGAAAGGACGAGGGTGGGGGAGGAGGGAACTTTCTAAAGGGAAATCATTTGTTAAAGTAGAGAACAAAAAGATTGTGACTCTTGAAAATGTCAGAAAGACCATGGGGAGGGAACCAGGATTCCTGTCTGAGTTCTGCCTGAAGTCACTGTGTTCTTTTTTCTTGTCTATTAGATTAAACAATTGGAAAAAATGGTCATGAATTTCCTTCCCAGCTCTGAGTTGCAAGCAAAGATACTGAGGCCATTTCCAAAGCCTTAAATAATCATTGAGAAATATTTTGGTTTCAAAGTTTTGTTTCAGAGAGGAGATGGGGTTGCTGGTACCAGAACTAACTAGAGCTAAATATGGGCACCCAAGTTCATTGGAGACACTCCAAGAGCACAGAGCCACCACCCAAACAGCAAAAGACTTGGGGGTACTACTAATTGAGTAGCTCCTGAGAGTCCACCCTCCTGCATCACATGTCCTTCCCTCTGACTTTGTCTTTCATGGTTCAGTTACATGGAACAATGTTTATGAGTCTATTGATAAAATCTGAGAATGAGTTGAAAAGAGTTCAAACTGAAAAGTTTTTGCCTAGGTAAGGGAGAAGTTACAAAGGGGTAGCTGCTCTATGTCTGTCACCCTCTAAAGTTTATCAACCCCTACACCAAAGTCAGGTACATTGGGGACATGCAGATGAGCATCATGGGAGAAGAGAGTTGTGTCTCAGACAAGACACATTCCCTCCATTTTGAAGGTGGTAGCTATTCAGAACTGAGTTATACTATTATTCACTGAGGAGTCTCTGGGTAGTGCAATAGGATACTCTTGGCTGCTAACTTAAAAGTTGGCAGTTCAAACCCACCTGCACTCCTCAAGAGAAAAGACTTGGTGATTTGCTCCTGTAAAGATTACAGCCTAGAAAATTAGAGCTATTCTACTCTGTCATATGGGGAGTCCTGGTGTGGCGACACTGGTAATGTGCTGGACCTCATAGTTGTTAGTTCAAACCCACCAGCCACTCCTCGGAGATCCTAAACAGGGTCTCCATGAGATGGCACATACCAAGAACGCCTCTATCCTATTCCCATATATAGGGTCTCTAGGAGTTGGAATTGACTTGATGAACATATATACACACACACCACAAACGATTAAGCAAGGTCTCTAAGGGACTCAAATGATTTGTGATTGATCAGCTGCTAACCTAAAGATTGGCAGTTCCAACTCACCCAGTAGCTCCATGAGAGAAAAGTCTGGAAATCTACTTCCTTAAAGATTGTTGTTGTTGTTAAGTGTTGTCCAGTGGGCTCTTACTCATAGTGATCCTGTATAGGGGTTCTGAGGAACAGCTGGTGGGTTTGAAGTGCTGACCTTGTGGTTCACAGTCCAGTGCTGACCCACAGTGCTACACCAGAAGTCCGTATGGAGCTTCATTCTGCTCTTAACAATTGGGGTCACCATGAGTTGAAATCAACTTGATGGAACAGATTGATATTAAGTGTAGGTCTAGAAAACAGAGTTCATAGTTCCTTCTCTAATTCAAGAAAAAAAAAGGAGAAGGAAAATGGGAAAAGAGACAGAGGGAGAAAAAGATGCCCAAGAGGGTAAGAGGATATTGATAAAGGTGAACGACAAAGAGACTGCAGAAAACAGGTCAGAGACAAGACATCTGCTCCCTAAACTCTCTGCCCCCTTGAATCCACCCTAAACTCAGAGCCAGAGTTTTCTTTCTAGAACACAAATGTAATGACTTCACAGCTCCACTGTGAATGGGTGAACAAACACATTGACAAAATCAGATCTGAACTCTTTAACCAATGCACAGAATCATCCCAACCTGGGGCCCAAATCACTTCATGGTGGTCTCTGTGAATCCTCACTGGGCTGTGTGATGCTCTGTGTCCTGGTATGTGGTTTTGATCTCTGTGTCCTGGTATGTGGTTTTGATCTCGACTCCTGACACCTGTCCTTGGTCATCTCATTTTTAATTTAAGATCCATCTCAGCTACCAGGGCCACTCTGACACTTTCCCTTATCACAGTGTATTTTATTGTTTGTTAATGTAGCCCATGTCAACTCTTTCTTATAGGAGCCCTCGTAGCATAGTAGTTGAAGGTTGGTTTGAACCTCTCAGTCACTCGGAGGGTAGAAAAGATGGCAATTTGCTTCCGTTAAGATTGTTGTTAAGTGTCATTGAGTTGGATCGGACCAATAGCAACCCTATACAGGTTTTCCGAGGAGCGACTGGTGAGTGTGAACCACCGACCTTGCAGTTCAAATGGCTTTGCAGTCTGTCACATTAACCCACAGCACCACACCAGGTCCGTTAAGATTACAGCCTTGGAAAACCTATGAGGGTTGTACTGCTTTGTCCTATCGAGTGAGCTAACAACATGTATGTTTGGTTTAGAGTCCTTCTGGTCCCTAGGTGGCCCAAATGAGCCTGCTGAGCCACTGTACAGTAAGCACTGGACCATGAACCACAAAGTCCATGGTCTAAACCTACCAGCTGCTCCTCAGAAACCCTGTACAGGGTCACTATGAGTCGGAACTGACTCAATGGTACTTAACAACAACAATAACAACTTTTGATAAATGGAGTCCTGATGTGGCACTGTAGGGTAAGCACTGGAGTGCTAACTGCAAGGTCAGCAGTTCAAAACCACCAGTCACTCCTTGGAAACTGTATATAGGGTCACTATGAGTCGGAACCTACTCAACAGCGCCTAACAACAGTAACAATTAACATACAAGCTTGGTTTGAAACCACACAGTGGTGCTTTGGATCTGCAGCCAAGAAAAAACTCGGGAGCTGTTCTACTCTGTAACACGTGGGGTCACTGGAAGTCCGAATCTGCTCACAGCCATGGGTTTGATTCTGTTTTAGAGTTCTTTAGTTCCCCCTAACACTTTGTGACCAGCAAAGGAGAACAAGATCAAAGAAAGGGAAAGGAGGAAGACGTGGGGCAAGAAGAAAGAATATAGTACAAATACAATTCTAAATTTAATTAGGGACACTATTCATTGATGGAGTTCTGTGTGGCACTGTGGGTTAATGCAGTGCACTGTATGGTCATTTTAAACCGAGGGGTCATCGGTTCGAGCTCACCAGTCACTCCTTGGAAGCCCTATACAGGGTCACTATAGGTCGGAACCAACTCAACGGCACTTAACAACAACATGGTGTGGAGCTGTATGATCAGCACTGGACTGTGAACCATAAGGTTGGCAGTTCAAACCCATCAACTGCTCCTTGGAAAACCAATACAGGGTTTCTATTAGTTGAAGTGTACTCAACAGGCAGTTAACAGCAACAAGCCATTGGTAGAGATAATCTGTTGCATTGAAAGCCTGTGGGATACCCCAAAGTTAAATCTCCATAATATGTAATGTTGGGAACTGGTTTGAAAACACCTAGGAACCCAGGATGTTGGTGTTAAGTGCCATTAAATAGGTTTGACTCACAGCGACCCTGTATAGGTTTTCAGGATAGAAGGTGTCATTTGAATTCCAGTGACCTATCTGGCATATAATATCCCCTGACAATCTATATCTGCCTCCCGCCTCACACGGTCACTACCAGGAAAGACCCAGAAGTGAGCCCCGTTGCCATAGCATTGATTCTAACGCATGTGTGGCAGAGTAGAGCTGTCCTCCCCAGGGTTTTTTCTAATGGATACTTTTTTTGGAAGCAGTTCAGCAGGTCTTTCTTCTGAGGTACCTCTACATGGACAGGAAGAGTTTACACCACCCAAGGATTCCATTGAAAGGAGAAGTCGACATCAATCCTTGGACAAGAGTGAATACATCACCACCACAAAAAAAACAAACCCTACAAATCACCTTTAGCCAAAAGATTGTCAGATGAAAGGACACACTCCAAAAGCAGGATCCTGTTAACAGGCTATGGATCATGTTTCCTTTTTCTGCTGACACACAAGAGTTTAGGCAGTGGCATCAAGCGCTCAGGTTGGAAGTCATAAATTCTAGACCTTGATCTGTAGCCATGTGTGATCTTGGTCTGTTCCTATAACCACACTCAGACCTAGCCTCTCAAAATGTGATGAGGGCCTTAGATTTCAACTACAGAAACTTTTTTAGGGCACAGAAACAGTTCATTCTATCAGTGAAGTCTATTTGCCTGTAGTAATTGGAAGTAATCCTTGTATTCCCTGCTCCCATCTGTTTTTAGCAGACTAGACGTCCAGAAGGTGAGTCAAAATCTCTTCCTGTTCTTAATGTTTTACATTAACTATCGCTTCACCAAGTTGTAACTGAATACACTGGAGTCCTGGTGTGGCACTAATGTGTCAAGACTGCAAAGTCGTTTGAACTGCAAGGTCGGTGGTTCAAGATCACCAGCTGCTCCTTGGAAACCCTATACAGGGTCGCTATGGGTCGGAATCGACTCAATGACACTTAACAACAACACTGGAGCCTTAACATACTCCCGTGTCCTTGTTGTCATACGCCATCAAGTTGGTTCTGCCTCACAGTGATCCCATGCACGACAGAACAAGATTCTGCTGGTCTTGTACCATCTATGTTTGCGCCTGTCATTGTAGCCACTATATCAATCCATCTCTTTGAGGGACTTCCACTCCCTACCACCTTAAAAGAGTTAATGATGTTTCCTTAGAAGCAGAACTTAAACCTGGAAAAACAAATGAAGTGCTCTGGCATATCAAGAGTCAAATCCTACAATACTGTTTTCATTTTAAATATACGCAGTCCTTTTGTTTGGCTTTGGGTTTAAACAGGCTGAGCATATAGGCTTAGCAATCTAGACTGCTCTAAATCCCATATCAAAGTAGGCTGACTCCAAACAGTCCAGCCAACTCACAGCATCACAGTTGATTGTGTTTGACAAACTCAAAGGGCAGCTTCTCCCTGCTGGCAAGTATCACGGAATCTGCCTGCGTTATGGTGAGCAAATGATTATCTACAGCAATCCTGCTATCTGCAGAGGTTAGCTTCCTGCCTTTGGCACCAATAGAGCAAGAAAAGCAATCAGCTTTTGGCATAAAAGGGAACTGACTTTCCATGGGCTTCTTTCTGATGGACTGTCAAATACTGGTTCTCTTTTGCACACTGTTGCTTACCTCTGCTGATTTTCTTGCCTAGCAGACACTGCAGTCCCACTCACAATCCAGAAACCCCGTAAGTACTACGGCAAACTTCTCAAAAGCATTGATCCTAAGACTCTGATCCCAACAAAAAACAGTAACAGCAACATTCCACTTTGACAATAATCCTTAGAAGAGAATTCTGAGTACCTGGCCCCAGAATGGGGTGATCTGGACTAGGTCATCTACCTCGGGGTGCGGTAGCTCATCTGGTCTCTGGGGTTTTAGGTCTGTAGAAGTGTTATTATCCACACTCCCAGTTTTAGGATGGCTCCGCTCTCTCACTTTCTCCCTCCAGGAATCGCTACGGCCAGTCTGCTGGTGGCTTTGCACTATTCTCGCCACCGCTTTCTTAGCTCTTCCGCTCACCTCCATGTATTCGTCTTGACACAGGCAAAATGGGAGGAAAAACAGAGCCAGCAGGTGCCAACAGGCGAGCTTTCTCCGGAGCATGGTTCCCAGCAGAGCCTCGGAGCCTCGCGGATGGAGCTGAGGGCGGAGGCAGCAGCACTGGGGTGCTTTTCTGCTTTGGTGGGTAATAAATACGGCTGCAGGCAGCCAGAGTGACAAGCAGCCCTCCTCCCAGCAGAACAGCCCCATTCATCACATTCCCACACCCCAGGGGAAACCGACTTGGTGTGCACAGCTCCCAGTTGGTGGGGTTCATAAATGTCACACCTTGGCACGTTGTAGTGAAAAGTGTGACGAAAACATACACAACCCTCTGGAAACAGAGAGCATGTGTCCAGCCAGGGCTTTGCTTTCGTGATTCCACATGGAAAGGCTGTGAAGTCGCGGTCTAAAATGACTTTTGGAAAAACCAAGCTTTGGGCTTGCCAGGAAATTCAGGCTTAACTACATCAATGTAGTCTGAGATGGAAGGCACCCACTGGGGGAAATCAAGAGGGCTCATGCAGGCTTGTTGTATGGTTTCTCCACATTGCTTTGCTTTAACTAATGCTTCTCCCCTTCTGATATCAGCAGAGTCCCTGGGTGGTATAAACTGTTAATGTGTTCCGTTGCTAATTGAAAGATTGGAGCTTTGAGTCCATCCAGAAGTACCTCAGAAGAAAGACCTGGTGATCTACTTCCCAAACCAACTATGGAACATGGGTCTACTCTGACAGATGTGGGGTCACCATGAATTGAAACCAACTCCAAAACAACTGGTTTCCAGATCCCACCAACTGAACCCAGGGACAGCATCTCTGGGTTCTGTAATAGTAGGTCCTAGGTTTTGTGTCCTTTTCCCTTGAGTTTCTAAGAGCCAAAGTCAAATCTGAGTTAAGTAGGGCACTCACTTATTGCCAGATGAAGAAATAGCAGTAGCCAACTTCATGCTAACAGAAGGTTGCTAATCTCCAGCTACCCTTTTGCCTAACATAGTCACCAGTAAAGTAGAGGAAATGGTAGGCTCCAAGGCAAAAGCTACTCCAAGGATGTCAAGGGTGAGCAGCAAGTGTCTGATGCTAAGTGGACAAGGGTAGCACTGTTAGAAAGACAAAGTGGAGAGACCCAGCCTGTGGGTGAAGGGACGGAGCAGCTGGAGAGAGGGAGAGGAGAGAGGGCAGCTCACAGTTGCTCACCTCACTCAGCAAACAGCTGAGAGGTGCTTCCTGAACTGGCCAGAACTGAACAAAGACAGCTTGGCTGCCCCTGAAACTGCCCTTGCAACTGCCCCGAACACCTACCTCAGCATCTTATGTACTGACATTGGAAGAATTTGGGACTGAGAGAGTGGGGGAGTTATTCCATCAAATAAAAACTTTCCAGTTCACTAGTAAAGAGGCCTTGTTCAAATAGTTCACTGTCAGCTTAATTAGTAGTTTGATTCTATCCAGCTGTCAAAGATGTCAAGAAAGTCTTGGCAATCTGTGTCTATAAAGACTATTGGTGTTAAATGCTAGCAAGCCAGTTCTAACTCATAGTGACAATATATAGGGTTTCTGAGGAGTGACTGGTGAGTTTGAACCACCAACTTTGCAGTTCAAATCAACCTTGTGGCCCAGTACTTATCCTACAGTGCCATACCAGGACACCCTACAAAGATTACAGCCAAGAATGCCCTATGGAACAGTTTTACTCTGTAACATATGAGTTCACCATGAGTTTGAATTTAGTCGAAGTCTGTAATTTGTATTTTCTGGACAAAGAAGGCATTTCCCACCAAGAGAGGTAAAGAAACTCCACCACCGCGTTCTACAAACTGACCTTTGAACATGTAATATCTCCCTCTGGCAGATTCTTTGAGTCCTGTGATTAGCACAGTTAGGAGTCACATACCCCTGGGGAGGGGAGCACATCAAACTGTCATCTGGCATTCTGCTTGCTAAGGATTTCCTTAACAGGCCTGGGGATGGAGAATGTGGAGGGGTGGTACCTTAGGCTGGTGGACCAGCAAGTGGATGGATCACTCCTGTAGGAAGATGGGCAGCCCCGTGGGGATCTCAATGGGGGAAGCCAGGGATGCTGGGAGTAGGAGCAGGAGGGAAGGATGGGAGACAATAGCAAGGCACCACAAAGCAAGAAATGCCTGCAACACAGAAGGAAACAGAGTCAGGAATAGGAGGAGGAATGAAATGCATAGTTAATTGCTTTCATGAACAACTGCCTCTTTTTCCATGAAACCAGAAGAATAGAATGGTGCCTGGCTACTATTACTATTACTGAACATTGTGACAGAACATTCTACAGACAGATTATGATCAAAAGGGGGGGAAAATGTAGAATAGAATTCCAAATGAGCATAGAGTCCACAAACCATGGAGGCTAAATGAATCCTCAAGAGTATTGCCCTGCAATAACCTTTAAACCTTAAACCAAAAATATTCTCTGAAGTAATCTTAAAACCAAAAAATAAAGTAAAACAAAAGAAAGTAACAAACGTATCCCATTGCCATGGGGTCAATTTCCACTTATTGTAACCTAAAGGGCAAAGAAGAACTGCCTTATCAGGTTTTCAAGACAGTAATCTCTAAGGAGGAGTCCTGGTGTAGTGTGGGGGTTGATGCACTGGACTGTAAGGTCGGTTTGAACTACAAGGTCAGCGGTTCAAGCTTACCAACTGCTGCTCAGAAACCCTATACAGGGTTGCTGTGCATTGGAACCAACTTGATGGCACTTAACAACAACCTTTAAGGAAACAGAGTATCATGTTTCTCTGTGACTGGGAGGTTCAAACTGTTGATCTTTTGGTTAACTGCTGAGTACTTAAAATCTTAACCAAACCATGTTGTTGTTGTTATTAAGTGCCTTCAAGTCACTTCCAACCCACAGCAACCCCATGTAGGGTTTCCGAGGAACCTTCTGAGGAAGGTAAGCTTGAACCGGCAACCTTGCAGTTCAAACCAATTTTGCAGTCCAGCACATTAACCCACAGTGCCACACCAGGACTCCAACCAAACTATAATTTAGCTCAACTAGCAAAGAATATCTGCTTTGAGCTTGCGCTCTTTTAAAGAACTGTATGGAACCTTTTAAAGAGCAATTAAGAAACATAGAGGGCAGTGAGTATATGTTAAATGTTGCTGTTAAGTGCCATTGAGTCCATTTCAATTCATAGGGATCCAGTACAGGGTTTCTGAGGAGTAGCTGGTGGATTCGAACTTCTGGCCTTGTGTATCTTAGTCAAGTGCTTATCCTACAGCACTATACCAGGAGCAATCCAGAAAAAGAGGGTGAGAAAGATTACACAATTTGAAGAATGTAATCAATTTCACAGAATTGTACATGTAGAAATTGCTATGTTGGTCTTTGTATTGCTGCATCTGGAGTTTACAATCAGACTGTTTCCCCAACCTGAATCACCTGGCTAAGAAATTGCCAGTCCATCTCTTCTGAATCTGAACTGCATTAAGACTCTCTATTGGTGCTTTCAAGCCATTCTTCACCTATCTTACTGATTCCCAACCTTGGCTGCAGATTAAAATGCACCTGTTGTTGTTAGGTACCACCCAGTAGATTTGAACTCATATGGGCCCAAGTAGAACTGCCTCACAGAGTTTTCTAGGCTGTAGTTTTGTGGGGCACAGATTGCCAGGACTTTCTCCCTTGCGGCCACTGGGTAGGTTTGAATTCTAACTTTTTGATTAGGAGTGAAGTTTGGGGCCACCAGAGCTCCTTAAAATAAATTTCCTAAAAACATTGGTGTCTGGATCTTATCTTAGATCACTTGACTCAGAGTTTCAGGAGTGGCCTAAACACCCACAGTTTTTCAAACGTTTTCCCCAGATGATTCTATCTAATGTGCAGTCTTGATGTCATAGTTAAGGTTTCGGATGAACTTGAATGGGCCAGGATTCTCAGTGATTTGACAGTTTAGACATATGGTGCCCCTGATAAGATTTAATATAATGTAATCACTTCTATGATAAGCTCTGTTATAAGCAGTCAATTAATTGAAAGCAAGTTTCCTCAGTGGTGTAGGCTGCTTCCAATATATTGGACACTTGAGCAGAATTTGCTGCTTTCAGCTGGGTCTGGATGCTGCAGCTGGCTTGTCATCTGACCTCCAGTTCTTTGGACTTGAACCAGTGGCCTGCTCTATAGTCTGCCAATCCTGCGAGCCATCTTATCTGCCATATTACCTGCTTGATCTGCCTGCCTGCCATGTGACCTGCCGATCTTGGTTCCTCAATCTACAGCTACATGAGTCAGAAACCTCTAGCCTGACTTCTGACCGCTGGGGACTTGATCATCTCTACAACTGTTTGAGTCATTTCCTTGATGTAAATTTCTCTTTGCATATACATATGTAAGCTTCACTGCTTTGTTTCTTTGGAAAACCCAACCTAAGACATATGATTAGGAATCACTGACCAATCCTTTCCTTGGCTAAAAGAGAATAAATTATAGTAATTATATAATTGTTATTATCCAAGTTTATTGCATACTACCATGTGCCAAAGGTGCCCAGTAGCATAGTGGGTTACGAGTTCCGATGCTAACCTCAGTGTCAGCAGTTTCAATCTACCAGCTGTTCCATGAGAGAAAGATGAGGTCTTCTGCTTCTATGAAGATTTATAGCCTCAGAAACCCTATTAGGATCACTGTGAGTCGAACCCGACTCAATGGCACATAACCACCACCATAAGTCAGAATCCCTGGGTGTTTCAAACAGCTGGAGGTTTGGGTCTACTCAGAGGTCCTCAGAAGGAAGACCTGTTGATCTACTTCCAAAAATCAGCCACCTAAAACCTATGGAGGCCAGTTCTACTCGGACACATGTGAAGTGCCAAGAGTCAGAATCTTGGCCCAGGTTTAGTTTACCATGTGCCAACAATGGTAAACTAATTCACTGACTTCTCGTAGCAAACCTGTTATCCTCCTTTTATAGTTGAGGGAGTAGAGACTCAGAGAGGTATGGAGATTTGCCCAATGTTGTAAAGTTGGCAGGATGGGATCGGGATTTGATTCGGAATGCACCCTCAGAGTCTGTGTTCTCCGCCCGTCTCCAGAGTAGAGGGGAAG